AACATGAAAACTAATATACTTTCTAGAAAATACACTTTAACAATTTTAACAAGAGATTGGGTTTCTAGAGAGAGAGATTATGAGTTTCTATAGAGATCTTTTATACACTATCTTTCTAATCCCTCAGCCAAATTTATACTAAGAATATCTTTTATATATTTCAAATTTTAGGGATGTGATATCGAGAACCAGGCAACCAACATCAAAGAAAAAAAAGAAAATTAACTCTCATTCTCTATGTGCCTAAAAAGAATGGCAATCCATGATTGCATTTGTACTATGCAATTTTTGGAGGGAACGATCTAGAAGTCCAAGAGCTCAAAATCCAAACATTTTCTTTGATAATAATCATCTAGTGAAATTTCATATAAAAAAAATTCTCAAGTATTTTACCCAAGAGAGTAAATGTATGGTATGCTTCATTGGAATTATGCCGTGCCCTTCATCCTCTATGTGTCCTCTTATGCTTTATGATGCAAATTTGATTTAACAATGCACTAAAATCGAATAGAGTTGGTACTAGGTGGGGTTCATATGAAGCTTATGTGGGAGGGAGAGAGGCTATTTTAACATCTAGACAGGGAGTGACCATTTTAACACAATAGTGATATCAATAAATAATTAACGTTTCATGCCCTCAAAGGGAGGGAAAGAAAGGATAATATGTTTGGATTTAATGGTTAACTAATTTGTTGGTCATCTAATAGATGGGTAATTTTCAAGATATCGTATTCATTAGATAATTATCAGTGCCTTCTCAATAATATTTGTACTAATAATTAAAAGTTAAAAATAGCTTACATTTCAAAATCTACGATGGTAGAAACAATTTCATAGGAATTCGTTAGATAATTATTAATGCCTTCACTATAATATTTGTAATAACAAGTAAAAGTTAAAAATACCTTACACTCCAGATTCCAAGATGGTAGATTCCCAAATAGTTTACCAAACGAAAGTAAACAATTTCATAGGAAATTTAGACAATATTACTAAACATGAGAAAAAAAAACACGTAAAAGAAAAACATATGAAATCTAAACCTAAGAAATCTATTTCCTATGAAATTACTTTACTATAAGAAAATTATTTCACGCGAACCAAATGTGCAGCAAGCGAGCTCGTTGATGTGAGCCGACTCTAAAAGGCTATATGGTGATATCCAAAAATTACATAAATTTCATATTATGTGGGATTGAGATTGATATTGATAGGAAATAGAAATCTAGAAATATTAGGATTATTAAGTATATCTCTTGGTTTGAGATATATGTACCATCAATTTGATGTTTCCTATTTAGTGTGGACTCCTAACCTCAAATATATGGGATGAAAGAAGAAAGAATATGTGTACCTTATTTGGATCACCATATGTAAAAGGTGGCTTCCTATAGAGAGAGAGAGGCAGGGGCCTCCTGTGCATGAAAGGCAAAGCCTCCTTTCAGACACAAGTGAGCTTCTATGGAAAGAAACTCCACAATGTGCATCCTGTAGAGTGAGAGACTGGTTTCTTATAGAGAAGTAATTCCTATGGTGATTTTGGGTGGTTTCTTGTTTTAGTGAGAGTCTAGGTTGCTCTCAAGGGTCTCTTCTTTGATAGCAGTTTAGATGTGAAATAGAGATGGTCTCTTCCTATACAGTGGCTTAGCTGTGAAATTGAGATGAAGATCAGTGAGTCATGCTGATCGGGAGTGCGGGTCTAAAAAGATTTGCTCGGCTGTGTATTGTCAAGGGTTAAAGAGGAAGCTCTATATACAAATAAAAGTTACATAATAGATTTTAGGATATAGAACTTCCTCTTTAACCCTTGTGGATCACAAGATATTGAGTTTCCTATTTTGTGAGATTACATTTGTAATGATATTTGTTTCCAAATGAAAAACATTGTAACTCTATAAATCTCTAGTAAACAAAAGTAATCTCTATAAATGAAATATTGGTTTACCACTCGTGGACGTAGGCGTTATGTAACTCTATAAATCTATTATGTAACTTTCATTGTATAGCTAGGGGGTTATAAGGTGTATAGAACTAAGGAATTCTAGGGAGTATGGAATTGGGAGTTGGAAATCCTAAGGTAGTTGGAATTTTGGAATTCTAGGGGGTGAGGGGTTCCAGGGGTATTTTCTCTCTCTAGGAAATGTTTCTCTCTCCTCTCATCTTGAGTCTTGAACTTGAAAGAAAAGCAAAAGAACAAGCAAGAATTTGAAAAGCTTGATTGCCGATGACTAAAACTTCAAGAGTCTCTCCAAAAGTCTTATTACAAATGACTTGAGTTCCTTATATAGAGCAACTACAAAACAAGGGTGGAATGCTCAAAACTATCAAAATTGTCAAAAAATACACATTTTATGAATTAAAATATTAATCTTCTTTTTGGATCAAATGACCAAAATACTCCTAAGCACTTTTAGCAAAAGACAAAATCATCCCTCCATGAGGGGGCTCTTACTATTGCTAGGCCTCGACAGCTTTTTTGGACGCTTACAATAATAATTTGGGCAATCAATCATCGTAGAATTGATGCTTGAACTATTACCTGTGTTTTGATACCCTTTGATTGTCTTGGAACAGATGTTTTAGGAAGAACCCAAAATCTGGCCCAAGTTCCATAACCTGCCCAAGTTCCATAACCTTGTGATTCTTCGACAACCAATCCGGCACGATCGATGACGTTCCAAGCCTTCATTTTGACCACAAATTGAAGAGGACACTATCACAATCATTTTGTAATAAATTTCATCAATTTTGGTATCCGTTTGAGCACGTTCCAATTTTGAGAAGTCATCAGAAAATGAGATTCCAGCTACTGTAAAAGTATGCCATTTTTTACCTTAAAATTCGTGTCATCCGGTCTTCAAATCATACATAAAATTTTTTATCAAACTATAGCTCTTCGAAGCACGGTCACAGCGGACCCATACTTGCGACGATCCGACATCGAGATCTTGAGGAATGACCTCTCAAAGAAATGTATATTCTTCTTTATAAAATCTAAATTTTCATGTTTCGAGCCCCTATTCTCTCTAAAAATTCTCTCGTTTCGAGCCACCTCATGAAACATACCATATGTCAAAATGAGTGGGTCGTCGAGATCTAGCTCGTATCCGAATTTGAGCTTAATTGGACTTAAAACGAGCAAGTTATGAGTATTTGAATAAGAAAACATAATTTCCATAAATAGAAACTGGTTCACCGAGGCTATAATGCGATAGTATAAAACTCACTTTTTTATGGTAAGTTAGGCCCAAAATGGTCTTGAAGGGTCCTGTTGAGCTGAAATTTGGTAATTGGGGGTTTTTCAATATTTTGGATGTAATGTCAGTGGTATAATACTATGGGAAAGCATTATGTGCTTCCCCTACAGCATAAAACTTATATACTTCCCCTCATTTAGCCGTCCATTCTGATTGGAGGGCTAAGATTACCCCAATCACAATGTCACATCTCTGCACTATTTTATTTTTAATAATTTTTTTATAAACTATTTTGACACCAAATTTTGGATGTCCAATCCCCTATTAAACTTGCACTTGTAAAAAATATAAAAAACATATTTTAATAAAATAAAATGATCAAAATACTCCTGAAAATTTTAAAGAGAATTTTGGTCAGTATATTTTATCGAAAAATTATTTTTAATATTTTTTATAAGTGCGCCCCAATGAGAATATGGAACATACCAAATTTCATATTCATAGAATTTATATAAAAAAAAAAAACTAAAAAAAAAATAACTTTGAGACGTCGGATCTAAGATCAAATGGTGAGTATCTCTCTTGATCAAAATTGGACGGCTGGATGGTAGGGAAAGTATAGATCTTCTATGCTATAGGGGAAATATAGAAACCTTTCCATAACACTATTTTGAGACCCGAAAAGTGGAGCTATAGTTATAGGGTCCATTTTCAGCATGATAGGAACTGGATTTGAAAACCAAGTTTTATCCTGATCATATCAAAAGTCATCAGAATGTGAGGAAACTTTACGTGTGTCCTTAGGGTATCAAAAACTACCCTATCATGTAATTTGAGGCCATTTTGAAACTTCTTTAAATATCGCACAATTTTAGGCTTATTGCTACAGTGTTCCCATGGTCTGCAAGAGTCTTGGGCACCGGCGGGATCAAGTTAGTATCGACTCTCTCCTTATTTGCCTCTGGGATATAAGTACTTCAAAAATGATATATAACAATAATACCCAACATCTATCCTTCACTTGTTCGATATTGTTGTAGTGATCACATCTAAGCCACCCTCTATTACTACGACCCCTTCCACCACTACGATAGTTGTTAGGGCCTCTACCTCCACCACTATTTTGACGCCTTTTTCTTTCATATTTTTCATTATTAGCAACCGGGGCAAATTTCTCAACATTTTCTTTGGAGTTTTTGAAATCAAGATTCATAATTTCTTCGTAGTTTGCTCTAGTTAAATAGTACCACATACACTGTCAAAGGAAGGCAATTATACAGTCATTAAAATTTGACTCCCAATATATTCATATTCATTCTTTTACACAGCTAAAAATTGAAATATTGTGTCCTCCTCAATACATTTTTGCAAGATTGCCAAGTCAACAGTTGTATGTGAGTACATTACCAACTCATCCTACATACTCTTGAGAGTACTAAGACATTTAGTGATTGTTTTATCCCCTTGTTTTGTCTGAAAAATTTTCTGTTTAAATTGAAAACTATGTCTCTTGTTTTAATTAAAAATACGCTCAATATTATTTTGTTGGCCATACATTTTCTCAATGGATTTCCTTTAATCTTGGGCATTCTCAACAAAAAAAAAAAAAGAAAGAAAAGAAAAGAGAGAGCTGTAGGTTTGGGGTGGTCTTCGCATAATTCTTACAAAATTGTGAGCTTAGCGTCCAAAGTATTCTTTTTTCTTTTTGTTTTTTTTTTCAACTAACGTTCGTTGTAATGCCTGTTCAACCGTGGGAGAAAAAAAATGATTTCTTGGTGAAATTAAAATAGTCGAGTGAGCTTTTCAATGGGGACGTTGCATGACCATGCCACCACAAGCGTAGCTAAACGTTGTGAGCTTCCAGTCGCTTGCAGTGCTCGCAAACTCCCCGTCGTGGTTCATGTCCACGCCCCCCACTCTCTCTGTGTGCATGTAATATGTGGCCGCCAGCCGCGCATGGCTTGTAACCCCGGACCACATGCAAACCTCCGATCCGCTCGAATATGATGCCACTGTGTTTGGAACAGTGGGCGAGAATCTGACACCATGCACGGCCCGCCCCTCGTGGCCTTGCCATGCCGCCACTGCCCGACCGCTCTGCCTCCGGTCCCAAACCCTTATCCACCCATTCTCTGAGCTGGTGGCGATACAATTCGAGCCCGACTCTCGACCCCAGTCGCAGCAGAAGAAGTCCGGCTGGTTCTCAGCAAGGACACCAATATGCACCCCCACACGTGCATCCCACAGCTTGAGTTGTCCATCCTGTGATGCAGAGGCAAATGTTGCGGTGTCGGACGGGTCCCATGTCACGCATCGGATCGGACTTCTCGGGAAGCTATGCAGGGTCGAAGTGCATTGAATCCTCTCACACGGCTTCGAAAGTTTCAGTGTGGAGTCTACTGATGCGGAGACTAGGGTTTCTCGGCCGACGACATCCCACTCGAGGGAGGTAACCGAGGAAGAGTGACGGAAGGAGCTCCATTGGGTCTCATGGGTGCGAATGTTGAGAATGCAGATGCAACCGACGCCGTTGTGGGCCGATGCTATCAAATCCTCGTTGGCCGGGGACCAACTGCAAGCCATGACAGGTTGGGGGAAGGACGTGATGGACACTTGAACGAGCTGGTTGAGTGTGGGATGCGGGCAACAGACCATCACAGTTCCGGATTCTCCGAATCCGGTGGCCACAGCTACTGTGCCTGGTAGAGAAGGATGGGGATTGAACCTTACTGCTCGGCCCTCCCATGGGCAGAGAAGGTAGCTTCTTATTGTCATGGCAGCAAGCTTAATTCAAAATGCTACAACTGCCTGCCTCTCTTCTGTTTTAGTTTCTCTTACTTCTCCTTGGTTTTTATTGGAGTGAGGGCTCACCTTTGTACTTGTTAACGTCAAATAGTCTTAAATTTTTTTTTAAAATTTTATGTAAAATACAAAATGTTATGCTATGTGAATTTTAATTTTTTTTTAATTTTAGTTTTTTCGGCATTGCCTCACACTGCTCTACCAACAAAAAGAAAAAATAAAAATAAAAAATGGAGTTTACTAAAAGGTAATTTTGAAAAAAAAAAATATTGAGCATTTCATATTTTAACTAAAATTTTATTGTCCACACTCTAAAAAAATTGAAAAAAACTTCCTAATTTCAAAGTTTTCCGATGGATTTTTTTAGGTGCATGTATAATTCGATTCCAAGGTTGGCCGCTAAAAAACAAGTTCTATTCTCATGACTTTAAACAACTAGTGTTTCCAAGTTTTAGGGTGCGGCTGTTTTCACGTGCTTTTAGCTGTTGTCTGTCCACATTGACTTCTAAGTCAGTTCCGAAAGGTGTAGGATAACGTTTTTGATACGACGAGGCCTCGAAACTCATTGGACGTTTATAAAAAAAAAAAAGGGTTTTTTGAAGCATCGAAAATGGTGTATATTGTATCATCTTATCTAATTTAATTTTTCCTTTTAAAAAATTTTAATTTTTAGTTTTAACTTTTTTTACACATTAATGATCTCCATATTAATGACTGTATATTCTTTAATAAAAATACTCGTATAGGCCCACTAGCCTACAACTACATATGAGCCCAATGGTTCAGATTGAATCTGGATTGATCCATTGATCACAATTATATTTCGTATTTTAATTTTAATTATTTTTTTATAAATTCAAATCACTTGAATTTTTTGAGCGTGTGTTCTAGAAAAATAAAAGAATCCAATAAAAAGATAAAAAAAAAATCATAAAAAATAGATTTACCAAAATACTCCTGAAACATTTTAGATTTGTAAAAAAATTAAAACTAAAATTCAAATACAAAATAAAATCGTGTCCATCAGATCGGCCCATATTTAATCTAGACTATTTGGGCTCATATGTAACGGTAGGCTAGTGGACCTACACTAGCATTTTCCATTCCTTAATAATGAGGGTCAAAATTTATTTAAAAAATGAATTAGTAAGTGGGGCCACATTTATACATATAAGTTTGGGGATTCATAAAACCCTACTTTAAGGAATCAAAATTATTTCAATAATGAATTATTAAGGGCTAAAAAATTAATTGAAAAATGGATTATTTTACACTGGAATTTCTTGGGATATTATCAGTACTTTAATACATTGATTTAATTTTATTTTTTATTGTCGTATATATTCTTATTAAGTTAGATGAATTTGAATTTGGATTATACACAATAAAAGTTATAAATATATGTTTTTTTAAACATTAAATGGTATAAATATGTTACAAAGTTTATAAATGACATAGTTGAAAATAATGTTTAATATAAATTGGAATGAAAATATCATAACTCATTATCGAACTTAGTGGCTTTAAATATGTCTTAGTTGTAAATTGCTTCTATTTGCTTTATCTATATTTTTTTTAGAATTATTTTTAGATAAATAAAATGCTTCTTGTCAAATTCAAATTGCGAGTTTTGTTTTCGTACTCAATACAAGTTACTATTAGGAAAGGGTTATATCGTTATAATAAAATTAAAAAAAAATAAAAAATGGGTGTGGTTTGTATAGAGCCGAAGCTCTAAATAATGAAATTAGAGCCCACCTTCAAATAGTATCAATAAATGTGGTTTCAATATTGGAAATTTCTAACCGGCCTTAAAATATAGTTTCACCTTTAATTATAACATTTAAAACTTTAAAAATAGTGTAGATCGAGAAGATCTATGAAAACTTGAATAACTTAAAAATTAATGGGCCAAAAATTGAAATTTATTTTTTTCTCAAGTCCATGTATCTTGATGTCAAGATTATTAATTTGAGGATATTTAGGCATCAAAACAACTTCTTCTAGTGAAATATTTTAGGTAGGTTCGAATCTGATTGTTTAGAGCCTAGGCTCTATGTAAACTTTTCCCTTAAAAAATACTTTTGTATAAGTAATTTCTTTTTTGACCAAAGCAGCCAGAAGCTACGACCGAAGAACACCCAAATCTGACCAAGCAACCCGAGGCGGCCCGAATCTGCTCAAAGCAGCAGCACCACGCTTCTCTTCGCTTCGGTTTATGCTTAAAAACCGAAAGCTTCGGCCTCTTCGGCCGAAACAAAGCGAATTTGATAACATTGTGTTGAGAAAAGCTTCGGCCTCTTCGGCCGAAGCAAAGCGAAGTTGATAACATTGTGTTGAGAAAAGCTTCGGCCTCTTCGGCCGAAGCAATGCGAATTTGATAACATTGTGTTGAACATCTCAAAGTCTTTAAAATGGATTTTGAAAATCGAAAAATAAGCAAATTAGTCATTTAAAACAATGTCGAAGTATTATTGTAATAACGGATAGAAAACACGTACATATGACATAAAACTTAACAACACAAATTAAATATCACTAATAACGGTTACAAAACAGGTACATATGACATAAAAACTTAGCAGTAAATTTTAAATAACATTAAAAAGTGAATATATTTTAGGAATTAATTAATTTTTTATTTGGATGAGTCAATAGGGGAGACGGCCCTAGTTTCGATAAGAATTGAGCCTAAGACGTGGAGTTGCAAGTGCGAACCAATTAGGCCCATACTCTTTTCCCTATTATAAAAATTAATTGATAGTTAATATTGTATTTTTGTGGTGGCTATGCTCCTTCCATTATTCAACATAAGTAGTCACTGTAAATGTGAGTGCCATCGCCATGGTCCTCTAGAAAGAAAGAAAAAGTGTTTCATGCATCAGAGACCGTATGTTTGTTCTGCGGGCCTCGACATCTCGACTATCTAAATAAAGTAGACATGCAAATCAATTTTGCATGAGTATCCCCGAGTTGGGTGGTCTAATTTGAGAATCTAAAAAAAAATTACAGTAAATCGAAAAAAAGAAATTTATTTATAATATATTGTTTTATGCTTTTTATCATTTTGGCAAAGATTGAAAATTGTTTTGGACATGAATACTTATTTCTATCTTTCCCCTTCTATTTTAGTTTATTTATAAAAGCGTGCAGTTTCGAGGTTGCAACCTTAAACAATCCAATTAAGGCGCACCTCCAAAATTTATTATAACATGTAATTTTGGTGTAAAAATGTCTTAGGATTATCTAAAAATATATTTTCAAATCTAATTATAAAATTTTAAACTCCAAAAATAGTTAAAATCATGTAGATATACAAACATGTGAAAATCTTGAAAATGGACGGTCTAGATAATGTGTTGCAAGATGCACTATTTTTGAGACTCAAAATATTTTTTTTTACACATTCATACATCTCGATGTCGAGATGATCAATTAGAGGCCTTTCAACATTAAAACAACTTTTTCCGATGGATTTTTGAGATGCATCTATAATTCTACATTTTAAGGTTGCAACCTTATATAAACTGTTCCCTTTATAAAATACCCACAGCCACAAATTGATTTTTTTCAACATTATTTAATCTTATTTAGATATATTTTGTTTAATTTTATTTTAGACATATTTTTAAAATTATTTTTATATTTTTATTTTTTAATACTTTTTTGCTTCACTAGAGCACCGTCCACCTCGGGCCGAGTTTCCAACAGTGTGCATTGTACACCTTTCAAACAAATGTGATGGTGATATCAATGGCGGCCCCAAATCTATATGGATTTACATCGTTCAATAAAATTAAACGGTTCACACGTCAGAGTCGACAATATTTCAAATGGACGGTGCCGGTGTGAACCGGACAACTATATCTTGTGCATTGTATAGGCTCCTGATGTCCAGGCCTTTCAAACAAATGTGATGGTGATATGAATTGCGGCTCCAATTCTACGTGGATTTACACCGTACAAGTATGGGTGGGGTTTCTATAGAACCTAAGCTCTAAACAATCAAATTAGAGCATACTTCAAATAGTATCGAGAAATGTAATTTCAATATTAGAAATCTTTGTGATAGCCTTAGAATATATTTTTCACTTTTATTTATAAAGTTTAAAGCTTAAAAAATAGTGCAGATTGACAGATCTATGAAAACTTGAAAATCTTAAAAATTGACGGTCTAAAAATGCGTTACAAAATATGTTTATTTCCAAAAGTTGAAATCTATTTTTTTCTCATGTCCATGCATCTTGATGTCAAGATGATCAATTTGAGTATATTTGAACATCAAAACAACCTTTTCTAATAAATTTTTTATGATAGACTCCAATTTGATTGTTTAGAGCCTCGGCCCTATATAAACTTCTCCCTACAATAATATTTTATACAAGTTCAGGCCCACAATACATGACATGGATGGTGCGTATGTCAAGCCGAACAACTATATCTTGGCCCACAAGGCATCGAAATGTATAATTTAGAATAGTGATTTATACCTATTGGGTGCGGTTTCTATAAGGTTGTAACTTTAAACAATCCAATTAAGGTGCACTTTAAAATTTTATCATAACATATAATTTTATTGTAAAAAATATTTAGTATTATCTTAAAATCTATTTTCATATTTAATTAGAAAATTTTAAATTTTAAAATTGATTAAAATCAAGTAGATCTATAAATATATGAAAATCTTAAAAAATGGACGGTCTAGATAATGTGTTGCAAGATGCACTATTTTTAAGATTCAAAAACCTGTTTTTTTATATTCATGCATCTCGATGTCGAGATGATCGAGTAGAGAGTTTTCTCAACATTAAAACAACATTTTCGATAGATTTTTTATGTGCATATGTGATCCTACATTTTAAGGTTGTAATGTTGTACAAACTTTTCCCATACCTAATTATAATGAAATGGATGTCTGGGATCGGGTCTTTCATGTTGGAGGAAACGGGGTTAGGTGGCCGTCTCTCATCCCT